CTCTCTCTCTCTCTCTCTCTCTCTCTCTCTCTCTCTCACACACACACACACACACATACACTTACACACACACACACACACACACACACACTTTGATGTGGGTCTGAAAAGCTGACTCAAATTTATACTTTTTTGTTGAAGTCTGCTGTTCAGTTAGCCACTTATATGTAGTAGCCTTAAGTCCTTTCCCTGAAATAGAATATTTGTTGGGGTTTTTTTAAATTCTGTGGCATGTTTCTAAAATATAGTCCTAACCTTTCCCCACGACTTTCTTCCCCATGCAACTTTTTAACATAAGCCTCCATTTTTAGGCCATGAGTGATAAAATACTGTTGGCTCTACCTAGGTGTTAGGGATGGAGGGAGATGCATCATCCTCTTTTAACCTGACTTAAGCTTCCAGATTGCAGTATTGCGCAGCTATGTATTTCCTTCAGTGAAAACTGAAATGAACTGGGCATGAAAAGAATCCATCGTTCAACCAAAATGAAATTAAGATACTCATTCCATAACCTGTCAGGAACTGTCCATCACAACTGACGATCTCTGTGTATAAAAGCTGCCATTTTTAAAAAATTTTCTAAGAACATGAAACAAACATTGTTTTAAGTATTGTCTTATCTCCAGACTTGAAGGAGGCAGACAGAAACATGAATCTAGTTTCTATTCTCTCAAAAAAAGAAAAGTAAATTTTTCTATTAAGACATCTGTGTGTTTTTTTCATGGCTGTTTTCTGACATTTTAACAAAGGGATTATTTTAAAGAATCTCTCTCAAGTGACCATATTTCTCAAATAGTCTTTCCAACCTAAGCTTGTTTTCTATGATATTTCTCTTCTAACATGGATGGTGCTTTAAATGCATTAACTGCTGAATCTACATACACTCTGCATTCTTTTCTTTCTGTCCAAGTTAGAGTGCTTTATCGATAACTTCAGCATGAAATCTTGCCCACTCTACCACAAAATAAAAGACCCAGAAAGCTCCATAAATATTAAGCTAGATCTGAGATCAAATGACCAGATCCAGTTTCTGAGGGGAACCAATACAAATTTTTAAAAGGCAGTTTTGTGAATATAGACCCAGTATTGACTAAATTGGCCCCAATGACAACTTGCTTAATACTAATATACAAAAACATTTTTTTATTTCCAGTTTTAATTTCTTGGCCTGACATTACATTTATTCTTATTTAGAAGAGTAAATGTTGTTATCTACATGACATCTTTTGTGTTTTTAGAAGCAACTTATGGCCCCAAAGTATTTAGTGTACAGTTTTCCAGAATATGAGGTCAGTTATTTTAGCTTTAATTTTACAGATGAATGAAATTGAAAGGGCTAATTTTTTTTTTATTCTGTGGGGAAGTTATAGCCACTTGAAGATGAGAAGTTCTAAAAGATGTGGTTTGCCACAATAATTGCCTTTGAAAAAGCTGTCTAACTTAGAAGCCAAACTTTGTTTGAAGTAAACTTGGCTAACCTCAATTATATTCCTGTCTTCAAATTAATATTTATTTTAAAATTCAATGAGATAATCAGCCAGGGCAATTTATACGCAGATACTTACCTGTATGAAAAGAGAAAACATCCAATTTAAAAGAAATAAACTAGCTTAAAACAGAGCGTCTTGGTTTTGACAATACATTATTTTTGTGTTTTATATTAGAGAAGAAACAGCATGAAAGCATGTTGTAACTTATCTTTTTCAATTTATTTAAGACTTTGAACTATCCAATATGGGTTGGGGTTTTTTTTTTTAAGCCATGAGCAGGTAAAAGTAGAATGATAGCCTAAATTTAGCATTTTTTTTTTTTTTGGTTCTTTCCAAAAACACTGAGTCTAATTCTCCCAGGTAAAAAGCTGTGACCTGGAAGAAATTCCAGCTTCTACAAGTGCCTGAGTTATTCCCAAATAACACCTTGTGTGTTTGAAGAATGTTTTCCACTTCTAAAGTCCCCAAAAGTCAACTTATATCTAGAGTAGAAAAATAATAATTAGCAAATTAAATAAATTAGGTTTTTATTTATCATTGTAGTTACAAGCCTGATTAGTCAATAGTTTTAAAATTAAAATGTTCTCACTTCTATCTTTATTAAAGTCATTCATGCCTAAGAATCATTCATGTCTTTGAACTTCTCACATCTTGTACTTCCCAACAGGGACAGAGGTTCAGCCAACACCTGTAATCAAGGCATAGTCTCACTCAGCTTTCAGGTTCTAAATAACAGACACATAAAGAGACCCAAAGTCATGAAACTCCTAATTGTTCTTCACTGTTGCTCTTGTTAGATTTTCTGCCTTTAGCTACAACATTATATGTGGTATCATTCTCTTCAAAGCAAACAGTATTCCTTTACATCAAGGGTTCTTAACCTTCTCTGTTTATGTGTGTCATAGAACCTCAGCAGTCTGGTGAAATCCATGGACCCCCTCTTCAGAATTGTTATTTTAAATGTATAATATAAAATATGTAGATTATAAAGGAAATAAATTATATCAGAAATATTTTTAAAACCTGTTTACAGATCCCATGAACATAGTCATTAAAAGTTTACTAAACAGTTCAAACATGGCTTTTTGATTCCTTTAACTCCTAAAGCCTAAGGCTTTTTTTCATCCTAAGTAAATTTTATAATTTTCATTCTCAAGAAACAAAGTACTGGAGGAAAATTGGGAGTTGCTGAAATTGTGCCTCCATTGCCAGTAACTGTATATTTTACATCTGTAGACTTAACCTACAAAAGTTGCATTGAGTTATGATATGACAGTTCTCTAAAATTATACTTAAAACTGAAATAAAAACTTTCCTGCTTGAGGCCCCCAGAGTAATCGAACACCATTCAATGGCTTTCAAGCAAGCCAAATACCTTCAGAAGTCATTTGGTCACATTTTGAAATGCTAGTTAAAAAAAAAAAAAGAAGTGGAATTTGCATTTACTCTTTTGTCCAGGTGATGAAAAACATCTACCCTAAGGACAAAGTAAGTGTCCTTTTTTACTGATTTTGGAAAATTTTTTGATAAACTGAAAACCAATCACCTGCATAAAACATGAGTATCCCTAGAATTCAGGCATGGTTAAAAAAAATACAGTTTGCCTTCCATCCTGTGTCCTTGTTATAATTTGCATTTCAAAAATTGTAGAAAATCCACCGGAAAATACCTCATCAGCAGTGCAAATTTACTGCTTAAGGAGAGGGGAAGAAGGCAGAAGGAAATTGGCCTGGTGTGCAGATAATTGCAAAAGTGTAACGACCTTAATAAAAAACCCTGTATAGTAGAACCATGGATAAATATTATCATGATTTTTACTAAGATAGTATTTTAATTTTTACCCAGAATGTAGAAGTATGGGAATTTTTTAAAGAGGGGGTGATTTTCTCTCTATACCAATCCTTGCTTTGTAAAGTGAGCATTGCAATATATGGTTTTACCAACCAGAGACTCATCTACTTGCAGGAACTCTAGTATATTGATGGAAAAGTTTTTAAAGGCAGTGTTGTGTTTTCACAACCAGCATCATAAAAGTTAAATCACAGGTTTCTCTGTGCATTTAAAATAGGATGTGATTATTCAAAATCCTACATGTTGACAATTTTTCAGAAACACACCTAGTATTTAAGCAAGTCTGAATAGGACAAGTCTTAGTCAGAAGATTTGATTTATCATCTTAGCCATAGTTAACCCATTCAGAGAACCTGGGAATATCAGTCTCACTGGGTGTAGACAACTATAGAGAATCAACTGGACTAGATTTTTTTTCCCATTTCTTTGACTTATGTACACCTGGCCTAGTCTTTTCTGAAAATGAAGGATTTTTGCATTGAATTGAGCATTTGCCTATAGCACTGACTTGTCACCAAGATTTCCAATTATGGATCATAATTTGGAAGTCAACCTGCATTTTCATAGTTCCACTGAACTCACTGCATAATACTTCTTTTTATTTAAAAAAAACCCTCTAGAAGTTGAACATGGATACCTGCACAATCAAGATTCAAACAAAAGCTCCATTCTTTCATTCATTTGACAAGCATTTATTAAGCACCTACTATATGCCAAGCACTGACCTAGACAGTGGGGCTATACAGGAAAAAAAATAGTCCCTGCCCTCAAGGACCTTTATAGTCCACATCATGAAGGATGTAGAACAAGTTTTCAAGTATAATCTTTAGAAAAGTTTATTGGGGTTTTTGTTTGTTTTTTACTTAAGAGGACCTCAACTCCCAAACTCCATTAAAAGTTAAATATATGTAGATCAAAACTACAACGTGAAAAACTCCTTATATGGTGAAAGAGAGAAAATCGGAAATGGACTAAACTGCATGATTCCTGCGTCAATGATTATTGTGGTTAGCCTTAACTTTTATAAAAAATACATTTTTCAATGTTCATTTTTACTAAATAGGGAAAAAATGACTCCCTGTGAAACTTTTAAAAAAATATTTTGTGAATTTTTTCTAAGTTTCTACACTTTGAGGTATCATGATATTTCTTTTCCCCTCCCCATTGTTCCTTATTCATCTGGGGCTGGGTTTTTTGGTTTTTGTTTGTTTTTTGCAAAGCATCGAATTTT